CTGTAAACCAGTAAACAGAGATCTGTAAACCAGCAAACATAGATGTGTAAACCAGTAAACATAGATCTGTAAACCAGTAAACATAGATCTGTAAACCAGTAAACATAGATCTGTAAACCAGTAAACATAGATCTGTAAACCAGTAAACATAGATCTGTAAACCAGTAAACATAGATCTGTAAACCAGTAAACATAGATCTGTAAACCAGTAAACATAGATCTGTAAACCAGTAAACATAGATCTGTAAACCAGTAAACATAGATCTGTAAACCAGTAAACATAGATCTGTAAACCAGTAAACATAGATCTGTAAACCAGTAAACATAGATCTGTAAACCAGTAAACATAGATCTGTAAACCAGTAAACATAGATCTGTAAACCAGTAAACATAGATCTGTAAACCAGTAAACATAGATCTGTAAACCAGTAAACATAGATCTGTAAACCAGTAAACATAGATCTGTAAACCAGTAAACATAGATCTGTAAACCAGTAAACATAGATCTGTAAACCAGTAAACATAGATCTGTAAACCAGTAAACATAGATCTGTAAACCAGTAAACATAGATCTGTAAACCAGTAAACATAGATCTGTAAACCAGTAAACATAGATCTGTAAACCAGTAAACATAGATCTGTAAACCAGTAAACATAGATCTGTAAACCAGTAAACATAGATCTGTAAACCAGTAAACATAGATCTGTAAACCAGTAAACATAGATCTGTAAACCAGTAAACATAGATCTGTAAACCAGTAAACATAGATCTGTAAACCAGTAAACATAGATCTGTAAACCAGTAAACATAGATCTGTAAACCAGTAAACATAGATCTGTAAACCAGTAAACATAGATCTGTAAACCAGTAAACATAGATCTGTAAACCAGTAAACATAGATCTGTAAACCAGTAAACATAGATCTGTAAACCAGTAAACATAGATCTGTAAACCAGTAAACATAGATCTGTAAACCAGTAAACATAGATCTGTAAACCAGTAAACATAGATCTGTAAACCAGTAAACATAGATCTGTAAACCAGTAAACATAGATCTGTAAACCAGTAAACATAGATCTGTAAACCAGTAAACATAGATCTGTAAACCAGTAAACATAGATCTGTAAACCAGTAAACATAGATCTGTAAACCAGTAAACATAGATCTGTAAACCAGTAAACATAGATCTGTAAACCAGTAAACATAGATCTGTAAACCAGTAAACATAGATCTGTAAACCAGTAAACATAGATCTGTAAACCAGTAAACATAGATCTGTAAACCAGTAAACATAGATCTGTAAACCAGTAAACATAGATCTGTAAACCAGTAAACATAGATCTGTAAACCAGTAAACATAGATCTGTAAACCAGTAAACATAGATCTGTAAACCAGTAAACATAGATCTGTAAACCAGTAAACATAGATCTGTAAACCAGTAAACATAGATCTGTAAACCAGTAAACATAGATCTGTAAACCAGTAAACATAGATCTGTAAACCAGTAAACATAGATCTGTAAACCAGTAAACATAGATCTGTAAACCAGTAAACATAGATCTGTAAACCAGTAAACATAGATCTGTAAACCAGTAAACATAGATCTGTAAACCAGTAAACATAGATCTGTAAACCAGTAAACATAGATCTGTAAACCAGTAAACATAGATCTGTAAACCAGTAAACATAGATCTGTAAACCAGTAAACATAGATCTGTAAACCAGTAAACATAGATCTGTAAACCAGTAAACATAGATCTGTAAACCAGTAAACATAGATCTGTAAACCAGTAAACATAGATCTGTAAACCAGTAAACATAGATCTGTAAACCAGTAAACATAGATCTGTAAACCAGTAAACATAGATCTGTAAACCAGTAAACATAGATCTGTAAACCAGTAAACATAGATCTGTAAACCAGTAAACATAGATCTGTAAACCAGTAAACATAGATCTGTAAACCAGTAAACATAGATCTGTAAACCAGTAAACATAGATCTGTAAACCAGTAAACATAGATCTGTAAACCAGTAAACATAGATCTGTAAACCAGTAAACATAGATCTGTAAACCAGTAAACATAGATCTGTAAACCAGTAAACATAGATCTGTAAACCAGTAAACATAGATCTGTAAACCAGTAAACATAGATCTGTAAACCAGTAAACATAGATCTGTAAACCAGTAAACATAGATCTGTAAACCAGTAAACATAGATCTGTAAACCAGTAAACATAGATCTGTAAACCAGTAAACATAGATCTGTAAACCAGTAAACATAGATCTGTAAACCAGTAAACATAGATCTGTAAACCAGTAAACATAGATCTGTAAACCAGTAAACATAGATCTGTAAACCAGTAAACATAGATCTGTAAACCAGTAAACATAGATCTGTAAACCAGTAAACATAGATCTGTAAACCAGTAAACATAGATCTGTAAACCAGTAAACATAGATCTGTAAACCAGTAAACATAGATCTGTAAACCAGTAAACATAGATCTGTAAACCAGTAAACATAGATCTGTAAACCAGTAAACATAGATCTGTAAACCAGTAAACATAGATCTGTAAACCAGTAAACATAGATCTGTAAACCAGTAAACATAGATCTGTAAACCAGTAAACATAGATCTGTAAACCAGTAAACATAGATCTGTAAACCAGTAAACATAGATCTGTAAACCAGTAAACATAGATCTGTAAACCAGTAAACATAGATCTGTAAACCAGTAAACATAGATCTGTAAACCAGTAAACATAGATCTGTAAACCAGTAAACATAGATCTGTAAACCAGTAAACATAGATCTGTAAACCAGTAAACATAGATCTGTAAACCAGTAAACATAGATCTGTAAACCAGTAAACATAGATCTGTAAACCAGTAAACATAGATCTGTAAACCAGTAAACATAGATCTGTAAACCAGTAAACATAGATCTGTAAACCAGTAAACATAGATCTGTAAACCAGTAAACATAGATCTGTAAACCAGTAAACATAGATCTGTAAACCAGTAAACATAGATCTGTAAACCAGTAAACATAGATCTGTAAACCAGTAAACATAGATCTGTAAACCAGTAAACATAGATCTGTAAACCAGTAAACATAGATCTGTAAACTAGTAAACATAGATCTGTAAACCAGTAAACATAGATCTGTAAACCAGCAAACATAGATCTGTAAACCAGTATGTGTGCCAGACTTCCAATGTGATATCTTTCATTAACAAAGTTTAATTGTTTTTGAGAATTACACAGCACTGTTTAGGATTGAAGATGCAGTATTAAAAGCAATCAGGACTAGTTATATAAGATATCTTCCAGGTACATAATCTGATTTCAGCCTTTATTCCCTCGTTTAACGGCGATTAAAGCAGTGGTGTTTGGTGTAAGTTAAATGTTAGTCAAACAATTTCAATTTCTGTGTGACTCGGACCTTGGCATTTCATCAATGATAGATACAGTGTTTATTATGTACAGTGCAGACATATACACACAACTTTATATAAAGCCATAGTACAATCATGGAATTCAATTAGAAATATTAACCATTAATAATATCAAAGGTTCTGTCATTGCCTCAACACCTTTTCAATAACAGTTATGTTTTGCAGCTTTGTCCTTATAATTGTTAATAAATTCAATTCTTTTTTATAGGTGAAATCTCTGGCAACAGACTGTACAAATCTACGCAATGATGCCCTGCGAGTCCGTGAGGAGTTACGCCAGGAACAGAGCCGAGTCGAAATGGCTGAGAATGGGTTCGTTCAGACGATGGAAGAACTAGGTAAACATATTGTAGATTAGCGATAGGTGTATGGTAATATGAGATCAGTGTTATCATATCAACTTGCTAGGAGAATTGATCACCAATTCAGCCATCTGATGATCGCAACAGTGTTTAAAAGTTGATACTGTACAAATGGATTGATTACATTTCAAGCCATGAAATATCAGGAATTCCCAGGATGATAAAAGTGATATTGTCACTGCTATAAAGATATCTAATAATTATCTTAAATACGTTTCCCACTTCTCAGTTGTAAAGTCAATATTGTTTGTTTGTTAAGACTTAATATTAAGATCCTAAAATTGATTCACACTTTTCAGTCTCAGTGGTAAAGGTTTTAGAATGGCCTACTTGCCAACTCTACCATTTAAGGAGGGAGACGCCCAATTTTGGACCCTTGAATTTAGTATTTCCAACCAGTGACTTTTCTAAACTATTCCTAGGTTCTAAGGTCTTAAGATTTCATCTGAAAGAATAGCTCAAAATTTGTCAATTGAAATGAATATTTTGTCTCTTGGGGGTATATACACATTTTATTTATGATTTTAATTTTGAGCATGCAGATTGTCCCTTATGAAAATTTAAAAAGGTTAGCATTTTATGAATTACGGAATAGACAGTTTTTCCCATGAAATTCTTAAAAAAAAAAAAAAAGAACTATAAACAGTTTCCATTATCTAAAGGGCCTGTAATGATATTTTTTAGAGCGTGTAAAAAAGTTACATAGTTCGGCGGAGTCTGACCGTGAGTTACTGGTAACAGAGCTAAGTCGACTGCGCACGCAATACGAGGACCTGATCAAACAGCTGGAACAGACCCAAGTCATTGTAGATCAGCAAAAGGTGGGTGATATATAGATAATAGTGTATGTAAAGATATTTCAAAATCTATTGATATAAATTTTCATTTCAAAGCATGTTTTTTGTTTTAATATTTCACCTACTCGCTTGCATGATACGCTTAGGAATTTTAAGTTATATAATTACTGATATTGACTAAATGCTTATAGACATATCAATTCAGATGAAATTTTGAAAGACTTTTTTTACCATAAATCCTGTATTTTCCTACATAATATCGTCCAGTATATATACTGAATATAGACTAAATTTTGTTATACTGCCACCATATGTCTCGTAAAATGTTTGAATTTTAAAGGGTTTGGCTATATATCTAAGTACAATATTTAATTTTTGTATATGGGTTAACCCTTTCACCCCTATGTAACTTAAGTAGACTCTACCATGCTTTGACCTGGATGAGTCCATTATGGTCTATAATGATGAAAGGGTTATAGTGGAAAATTTGAAATATATTGGCAGTAATCTAGGTGTCAACTGAATTGAGGGGCATCCATGTTTTTTGTAGTATTGAGAAATATGTCTGCCCATAAAAGGTGGCATTTGAAACATTATACTGATGTTGATTTTGTAACTTCCCTAGGAAATGTTACTCATAGACAAGATTACTATAGGTAATCACTTTAATCAGATCAAGGTAAGTTGGTCAGAGTTAGAAGTATTATATAGTTGTGGCAGGATATAGACGGAGGTGCACTAACAAGAGCTTTTTGTATAATGAAAATAATATTTATTTGTAATTTACTGCAGTTCGTTTGTTTTGTGAGAGTGTGTTGGAAATTCCTCTTTTTGAACAAGGCCCTTTGTTTGAATTATTTCAAACCATCCTACGTTAATGCAGATTTCCCCCCAGAATTCCCAATGTTTCAGGTTCATATTTTAGATTTTTTTTTATTTTTTTTTTAGTCTACAAGTAAATTCATGGAAAAAATCACTGAATTGTGGTATGAGGAAGATAGAGTTCCCCAACAAGTGTTAGTTGGTTATCATGTTTATCAATCTCAGCTAAGTTAAATTTTCAAATTGTATAAAGACTGGAGGTTTACTGAGTGTCTTTTACAACTTCATATTCACTTGTGAGAGTAACATAAACATGGTAATAAACTATCATGAGTTTGGGGACCTTTTCTCCCTTAATGTTTAGATGTGATATGTAGAAATCCGCATGTTTTTTTTGTGAATACATTATTCCAGTCTCCCATCATGGAAGATGGGAAACAGTTGCCATGAACTAAGACGACACAATCGACAATAAGGTTGTTAATAACATTGTTACTGGACATCACAATAAGGGTGTAAATAACATGGTTACTGGAAATCACAATAAGGTTGTTAATAACAATGTTACTGGACATCACAATAAGGTTGCAAATAACATGGTTACTGGACATCCCAATAAGGTTGTTAATAACATGGGTACTGGACATGACAATAAGGTTGTAAATAACATTTTTACTGGACATCACGATAAGGTTGTTAATAACATGGTTACTGTACATCACAAGAAGGTTGTAAATAACATGGTTACTGGACATCCCAATAAGGTTGTTAATAACATGGGTACTGGACATGACAATAAGGTTGTAAATAACATGGTTACTGGACATCACAATAAGGTTGTTAATAACATTGTTACTTGACATCACAATAAGGTTGTTAATAACATTGTTACTGAAAAATCGACAATAAGGTTGTTAATAACATTGTTACTGGACATCACAATAAGGTTGTAAATAACATTTTTACTGGACATCACGATAAGGTTGTTAATAACATGGTTACTGGACATCACAATAAGGTTGTAAATAACATTGTTACTGGACATCGACAATAAGGTTGTTAATAACATTGTTACTGGACATCACAATAAGGTTGTTAATAACATTGTTACTGGACATC